GGAATTTTTCATCATACAGTTAAATTTAACGGCTTTACTATAAGTTTTTTCATAATCATTATTATTTACATAAGCATAGAATGTATACATAAACTCCGACATAATATAATGTGATCTAACCTTTTGGTTGTATTTATACGTTACTACATTATATCCATATTTTACCTTTAGGTCACATAGATACTTAAGTGTAAAGAATCCTTTAGGTACTAATACAACACAATCTTCTACATATAATACACCTTTATCAATTGATCTACGTACTTTTTCCTTTCAACTACTGCTTTTTAAAACATTAGTTAAAATTTTTTCAACAATACTCATCATGGCTAATTTACTATTATGTGAATCAATTAATGATACAAAGATAATCTCACCAGTTAAATGACATAGTAATCAAATACTATTATTTGCCGGATGTTTAAGAACGACAATACTACAAATAACGGGTCTATTGAAACTAGTACCTTGTAAAAATTTAGTGTGAGGATCTCTTGTCTTCGGGTAGATATAGGTTACATTTCTAATTTCTAATGGTAATGTAGAATCTGTTACAATATTAGCTACAGGCAATGTTAGAAGGTCTAAGCTTCTAGGGTTATATTTAATTAATTTCATTATGAGATAAAGTATTGACTATTCTTAATACCGTTTACAAATAAATTTCTAATTTTTCGTCAGTTAAGTTACCTGGTAATTTAGGAATCTCGATCTTTTTATTTTTACCCAAGTGGATATAGCCATCCACTGGAGTTACAATAGATTCAATTTCCTCTAAGAAATGATTATGCATTTTTTCTAAATAACCTTGTTCACCAAAATACATTAGGATAAATGCTCTTTTTACCTTTTCTTCTAATTTTCTTACATTATTTGGAGTAGTAGCAAAACAATCGTGAATAGTGTATAATGGAATATTTTTTTTTTAATTAAGTCTACTAGTAAGTGAATATTTGAAGCATCTAATGAATGAATTAAATTAGGCATAAAAGCTATTTTAGTTTTACGTTTATTGAATTTATTAGTAGGAATACTAATAGTTACTTTTAGAATGTTCAAATAATTTAGCTTGTGTAGTAACAGATTCATAAGTTCTATAGTTACCATAAATTTTAATACCTTTAGGAGTAATTCAAGTTAAGGGTCTATTTAATTTATTCATAATATTATTAATTGAATCTAAATAGTTAATTAAATCTTTGTATGCAGGTAAATTTTTAAATGTTGTATAAACAACACTAGATAACTCTCATAACTCAACCGCACTTAAACTCATTACTTTACCGTCCTTAGTCAAATTTTCAGGAATTTTATAATATGGAATTTTATCTTCAAATACCCTTGTAAATAGATCTTGTAATTGCTCTTTAACTCCAATTCTGCTAATATTGTAATTAATAGTCATAATTGGTTTCTTAATCATAGATCTAGTAATTTTAATATTGAGCATTTTCTTAGGATCTACTTTATCGCCAGTATAGTCAGTATAAACTCTATCCATTTCCTTTTCAACCATTTTTACACCTTCATTATAGAAATCCTGTCTTAGATTATTAGGATCGGTCATTAAATTTACTTTATTACCTAACTCCACTTCTCTCAATAAAGCTGAAAGATGCTGTGTACCGTTACAACTAGCATCTAATAAAATAGGTAAAGTACAGTAGTTTTTGACATTATTTTTATGGTTTAACATAATTTTTTTAACTGCTAAAATACAACTTAAGAACTGTACCGGTTCCGCAGCTTTATTCAATCATAATTTTTGGAATTTTTCTTTATCATTTTCGTATAAATCTAAACATTCTTTAATAATAGATTCACTAAATGACACTTTATTATCATGACTTAATTTATCATTCCCAAAAGTATTAGCCATGTAATGGTAAACATAACATAAACCCTCGGAATTAATTTCTTCAGACTCATTATAAAATCCAATTAATCCTCTACTTAAATCTTGGCCTTGGTATGATAGTAAACTACAGAATGTATATAGTCTTCCTCTAAAATCTCCAAATACAGGTAAATAGAAATAAGGCAATTTTCTAAAATTAGAAGCAAGACTTAGAATAGACTGATATCGGTAATGGATAGCATTATGTTTAATAGGATCATTGCCATTATCACTTACCATTGGTTTAATATATTCTTTAAATAACGTATCACTTCTACCACTTTCTCACTCAGAAATTAAGAAATCTAAGACCTCTTCATGAATCACAAGTTTTTGTCTATTTAAATAATTTACACAATCTGAAAGTTTTTCTTGACCTTCAGGCATCTTCATTAGATCATGTTTTGATCTTAAAATACTATGGAATGGATCACAGTATTGATTTGCGTCATCAGTCACATATGGTCCATAAATAAATTTATTATGTTCAAAACCAGGAGATCTAGGTTCACATACCATTGGTAAATCAAGAGGAGTAGAACTGGTTAAAGCTAAATTATGCATGGCCTTATCATCTAAATAAAGATTTTTAATAGATTGTCCATCTTTTTTAATTAAACGCGTATTAAATACTTTTTTGCTGTTATTAGCTAATGTAAATACTAATGTAGATGAAACCCCTATAAATTCGGTGTCATCCATCAGGCTAAGCTGATGTAATCCATCATACATAGTAAAATCATTATACAATTTACCATCTCTAAATAATTTAGGAGGCACAAAATTATCGGTACCATACTTATTATTTAACATTTTAATACGTCGAATAAATCGCTCTTTAATATTCCCTGCGTACTTACTTCACCTTCCTGAGATTTGTTAATAGCTGAGATACATTCCATGATAACAATTGAGGATACTCATTCAATATTTAGCATCATTACTAACAATCCAGATCGAGCTAATCTATTTTCCCTTATACTTTTTGAATGTAATTGTTCAACCATACGTCGATAATTATCATGTTCGTAAACCTTCTCAGTATCCAAGCTAATACTTCTAACCAACCTTTGGTACTCTTTAGCTAAAATAGAAACTTTCTGTGCGCTATTCTTATCTTGTTCTAATAACATTTTAAAAAAATTTTCATTATACTTAACTAATTCACTTTCCAATTTACTTTGGGCCAGTTCTCTATCCTCATAAACATTTAACACTCTTTCAATTAATTCAGTCAATGGACTAGTAAAAGATAGTTGGGCTTGACTTTTAATACTAGGATCAAACTTACATGTAATATTATATAGTTTATCTAAAATATCATATCTACTTTGAATAATATCTTTATCAGTTACACATAAGACCCTATCACTAATCTCACTAACATCTCTCTTAATCATACTTGGTCTCTTTCTAAGTAAATATTTACTTTTTTTACCACTACTAACTAATTCATTAGCCAGATATTCGTAGTCTTCTCTATATCAATTTAACTTTTGAACAATTTATTCAGACAACTTATCCATTCTAAAACCTTCAGCTTTACTCATTTCATCTAACTTATCTAAATATTTAACAGACATTTCCTCTTTTCCCGTCTTAAATAAGTTGTAATTTCAATTGCCTTCTGGTCACTATTAAATCGAGCTTCTAATCCTTTTCACATTTTCATTCATTCATCATCCATTTTAGCACCAGTAATAATACTATACTCTACATAATAATCAAACATAGCTTTCAAGAATCTATTATATGTCACCTTTTCAGGTCAATCCTTAGCAAGTACTAAAATCTTCAAGTTAGAATATCAGTCGCTTGATTAATCAAGCGCTTCATATTCATGTCCACAAATTAAAGCTACATTATTGTTACAGTAGTTAAGTTCCATAACTTCTTTAACATCTTTTCAAATAAACCCATGAGGTTTCAGTAATTGGAATAATTTATCATGGTAATATCTTACCGCTCTACTATCACGAATATTAAGACTAAGAATTTGAACTCTTTTAATTACATGTTGCAATCCAGTAGTTATAATTTTACTATACATTTCCTTAGGTACTGTAAGGCCGGTTAGAATATCTTGGTGAATGTCAACACTACCCTTACTAGGTAAATCAATAACGTTACCAGTAGGAATTAGTGCTAATGACTCATTTTCATTTTCATTTTCATTTTCATTTACTGTACTTTCATTTTCATTTTTAGTATTACGAGCTTTAACAGAAATTTGTCTAGAGAAGTTAGGTTTAAGAATAAGCAATCCGCTCATCTCGAGATTAATACAATCGGAATTAATAAAATCACCAAGTCAAATTGAAACCAACACAAGTAAAATAAACTTTAAAACATAAAACCGAAGGTGCATCTTAGGTAAGCCATTTAAAGTGTATAAAGCGTTGATCTGCGCAGAGTATGACTGGACACTATTAAAAATTGTTTTCATCTCTATAAGTGAAGTAAATAATGATCTTAATTTAGCCCGTATACTACAAAACTTAAGATGAAAAAGGCTAGGTTTTGGATAGTATTTTTTTTACTTTTATTCTATTTTTAACTTTTTATTCTCTTTTTATGGTCTTTTTTAAAAAAGAGAATAAAAAGGGCGAGAAATATCTTTCTTTTTCTAGTCGGTCGATAGATTCACAGGTTTAACGTTAATTAATACTCAACTTTTCTATTTATCGCTCCCTTACTCCTATTTACAATTGGTGAGAATAAAAATAAATAGATTCTTTATGATGCTCGCTAAGTATAAGAGGAACATTTAATATAAATATGAGAATTATAATATAAAAGAGTAATCACAACTAAACTTATTTTTTTACTCTATTTCCCACTGTTCCCTATTTCCTTTGTTACGGTTCTCCTTTTTGTAGTTTTTACTTTTTATTCCGTTAAAAATAAATAAAAAAAAGTAAAAGTTGGGCGAAACTAAGTAAACGATAAGAAAATGGGAAATAGAGTCAGGGATAATCTTATTGCTTGTGTATTTAAGTGCTATTGGAGAATTGTTATATTTTTTTTTATGACGAGATGATTATTCAGTACAAATGCTAAAGATATTGGTACATTATACCTAATCTTTGCCGTGTTTAGTGGTATGTTAGGAACAGCATTCAGTGTAATTATTAGAATGGAACTGGCTTCACCAGGTGTACAGTATCTACATGGAAATCATCAACTTTATAATGGTGCGCCACTTAACTTCATTCTCTCTTGTTGGATCTTTTGTGGGATTGTCGCCATCCTGTTATCCTTTGGCAATTCCGCAAAAATAAACCATCAGGGTTCCTTTTGACCTTTCGTGAGTGTAATCCCAACGGGCCTAGTCGAGGTATTATTTTGCCATCCAATTGCCAATCCTTTCCTTAACCTAGTCTGCCGCTCCCGTTCCATCTATATTATTAATTACAATTATTCAGGAAGAGACTTAGTGCTGTACAGCTTCGGATATATGGAGTGACTAGTGTTCTGTGCCCGACTAGAAATCGTTATTACCCTTATTTGGGACCTCACGGAGAGCCTTAAAGCAACAACCTTACCTAATTGGGGGAAACTCATTGGGGACTGCAGCATGGTTGTAAAGCGGTTTGCAAGAATAATCGCGAGCTACGTGTGACATGGTCAGGCTAACGAATCCTTTCTAAAACTACAATACCGGTCAGAGCTCCGGCATAAGCTGTGAAGTTTATGTGTAACGTTAGGAGGTTTGATTTACGTTGTGTCAAGCCTCTTGTCGAAAGTGCGTTGCTGGGTTTCAGGACGAAACCATAATGTAGTGGGAGACCTAAATCATACATTGGGAGAGAATCAAGGAACTTGGGATTACCCAACCAGCGTAAGCCACGGGGGTAACGGAGGCCTCGTAGTAGGATCGCTTCAACGCCGAATGTTTAGTACGTCGTCGGGCTATCTGAAGGGGGCTAGCGAGGAGACCCGTAAGCAAAACACGATTCCCGCGGGTTTAGTTGAGCTTCGAAGACTTAGAAATTCCAATACTAATAATGAGAACCTTATCAATCAGTGCATCATGGCGCTGCTTTGTCGACCCGATTTCCTTATGGCGGCGTATGGACAAATTAAGTCTAAGCCCGGTAATATGACCCCAGCGGTTGATGATGAAACTCTTGATGGAGTTAGTGCAGGGTACTTCCATAACCTTGCTCGGGAGCTGTGTACAGGCGCCTTCAATTTCAAACCTTCCCGTGTGAAGACTATTCCTAAGCCTGGAAAACCTGGTAAGACGCGAGATTTAATGATGGCTCCGCCGCGTGACAAAATTGTTCAGCAGGCTATGTTTATGATCCTAGAAGCTATCTATGAGCCCCACTTCAGAAGTGACTCACACGGTTTCCGGCCTGGCCGTGGCTGTCATTCAGCTTTACGGCAAGTCCATCAGCAATTCACCGCAGTAAATTGATTCATCGAAGGCGACATCTCTAACTGCTTTCCGTCTTTCGATCATGGTCTAATTGTAAAATTTGCCATGAAACGTATCAATGACCAGGGTTTCCACGCACTCTTGAACAAAGCCTTACGGGCAGGATACGTAAGTGACCACAAGTACTTTTCACCGGAAGTGGGAACCCCTGTCGGATCCATCGTTTCCCCCATCTTATGCAACATCCTTCTACACGAATTTGACATCTTCATGAACGATTACATCAGTAAATTCCGCTTAGGGGCAAAACACCGGATAGATCCAGAATACAAACGCCTCCAAAGAACAGGTAACATGAAAGAAATTAGAGAGCGTAACATTACTTCTCGGTTGGCCAAGGACTCGAATTATAAACGGCTATGGTACGTAAGATATGCGGATGATTTCCTTATTGGGGTTATTGGGAGTAAAGCAGATTGTAGTAAAATTTGAGAGGATCTTCAACATTTTCTAGCCACAGAACTAAAATTAACTCTCAGTGTTGACAAGACACGTATCACACATGCGCGGGACGACATAGCGTTTTTCCTGGGGGCGCTTATTCGCATCACACCACCACATCTTAGAGGTTATGTCCGTTACACTCGGAAAAATGGTACAGAGGGCACAATGACGCCTCAAGGTAGGCCTCAACTTTTAGTTCCGATCTCCAAATTAGTCAGCCGATTAGAAAGTCGTAAGTATTGCCGTCAGGGTGGGAAACCAACCAGCTGTAGTCGACTAATCCCCATGTCCGTATCGCAGATTATTAAGCACTACCTGGCCATTTGAAGAGGCTATAAAACATTTTATTCTTTCGCCAACAATTACAGTTCACTGCATCGTGTGCATTTCATTCTTAAGACAAGCTGTGCCCTTACCATTGCTTCTAAACTCCGACTAGGAACACTACACAAGGTTTTCAAGAAATTTGGACCGGACCTCGAGATCAAAGGCCTAGACGGTAACGTATTAACTTCATTTCCTTCAGTATCACTGGTGGGTGAGCGATTCTTTAACGCAGACATCAATTGAAATCCAGACAAACGCTTTGAGAAACTAAGTATGGCTGCCGCGCGTACAATCGAAGTATTAGATAGGCCCTGTTTGGCTTGTGAATCCCCTTCCCAGGTGGAAATGCACCATGTACGTAAACTTCGTTCTACAACTGAACGTATCAAAATGGATTACTTCACCTCGCTAATGTCCCGTATGAACCGTAAGCAAATTCCGCTTTGCCGCTCATGTCACGTAAAATTACACAAAGGTACACTGGCCCATTTCAAGATCCCTCGCCAGGATCAATTATAGTTCTCATATGATAGAAATCTAAGTCTCAAAACTCCTCGGTGAGAGCCGTATGCGGTGAAAGCCGCACGTACGGTTCGGGAAAAGGCTATCTGGTCCTTATGAAGATGGAACCATAAGATGGGTAAGCGCATTCTCTTACTTGATTGGTTGAAAATATGATTACCAATCGGAAGCTTGAGTGTGCCATTCTTTATGGCTACGTTCTGTATTTGTTAGCACGGTACAGTTTCGAGACGCTATCTTCGAGCCAGGAGCAGTTAGCCCATTTCACTTATTATTACAGCCCACGCGCTGTTAATGATTTTCTTCATGGTTATGCCAGCATTAGTCGGTGGGTTTGGAAACTATTTAGTTCCAGTGCAAATTGGAGCTCCAGATTGTATTAAGCACACTATTCGGTGGACTAATCATCTAGTTTCACCGTCTAGATTAGGACACTATCTCGCGGGATTATGAGAAGGAGATGGGCATATTTGAATCCCTAAAACCTCTCATGCTCCTAGTGGTAAACGATATACACCTCATTTCTCCATTACATTCGCTGCTTGTGATTATCCTTTGGTTTGTATGCTTCGGTTAATTATCGGAGGTACTATCCGAAACAAGATAGATAACAACGCCTATGTTCTTACTATTTCCTCTACTGATAATTTATTAACTATTATTAAACTTATTAATGGTAAAGTACGTACTCCCAAAGTTGCACAATTTAACAGATTAATTGAATGAATCAACAAAGACACGAATTCAGATATTCCTACTTTTGAAGTAGATCGAAGTGACATTCTTGAAAACGCTTGATTATCAGGATTTGTTGATGCTGATGGTTCTTTTGATATTCGTGTGTCTCTGATTTCTAACGGAGCCGTGAAAGACCGTGTAAGTGCGCGTATGCGATTAGAGCAATGTATGACTGACCCTAACACTAACGAGTCCTACAATAATATTATGGATTCAATCGCCAAGGCATTAGGTGTTAGATTGTCTTTATCTACTCACAACGCGGGAGTACAGTACTATCTTATTTCTGCGAGTAGTGTTTCTGCTCGGGCGGCCATTGCTAGTTATTTTTCATCATTTTCATTATTTAGTAGTAAGCGACTTAACTATCTTGACTGGTTAATTTGTCACAACATGATTGTTAATGGTCAACACATGACTGATCATGGTCGTTCTGAAGCAATGCAACTTAAATCGGGTATGAATAGTAAACGTACTTATTTTAATTGAGAGCATCTTGAGGTGTTAAAATTATATTAGTATCCTATAACACAGTCCTCATTTTAATTTATCTATAATTAATGAAGCATCGGGTGAATTGCAAGGACATTCCTGTAAGTTTTTAACTAGATTTTAGAAAAGAAAAAGGGAACAATTTGCAGCTTAGCTTGAACGAGTGTATAATATCCCACTCGCCCTTTTTTTTATTAAAAAAACTAGCGCTAGATATATTCGATTCAATAAAGTTCAACGACTGATGGGTCTAATAATCCCAACACGAGCGCCCGGCCTGTAACGCCAACAGGATGACATAGTCTAAACTTATTTGTAATAGTAAGATGGTGTAGTTAAATGCTATACGGATAATATAATTGATGGCTTTCCCACGATTAAATAATATTAGTTTCTGATTACTACCTCCTTCATTAATTTTACTATTAGCTAGTTCATTAGTAGAACAAGGAGCTGGTACAGGTTGAACGGTGTATCCACCATTATCTGGTATCCAGAGTCACTCAGGTGGTTCTGTAGATCTAGCTATTTTCAGCCTTCATTTAGCTGGTATT